ACCCTGTACCTGTCCAACTCTCGACCCTTCATTATCTGTTTTCTGCTTGCTACTCGCGCCCACGAAGCAAACGTGGGTCCTTCGACGGGAATGGCTCTCGCCAGGAAATGCGTCTTCGCTGGGAACAGCGTGCTCGGCGGAACCAGCGTCCAAACGGGGAATACCGCCTTCACCGGGAAACGTGTCCTCACCACAGATATCGTTTTCACCCTCCTCGAAAAACGATCCTGGTCGAAACCGCGCTTTCACCGGGAATATCGTCTTCACAAAACTTGTCTTCACTGGGAATAGCATCTTCACCAGAAATAGCGCCTCGACCGGGTTTCGCGTCTTCACTGGGAATAGCGCACACCCTGGAAATAGCGTACTCACCAGGAATAGCGTCTTCACCAGGAATGGCGTCTTCAACCCTCTTGTTCGGCAATAGCGTGTTCAATTGGAATAGCGAGTTCGTCCATGGTACAATCTGCGCGGGAAGTGGCGCATATGCCGCACTCCGTCCCACACAGCGATCACTATTGGAGTACGTTTTCCCGGGGAAGAGCGTCTTCACAGGAATTGCATCTTCATAGGGAATAGCGTCTTCACAGGAGAAGGCGTCTTCACTGGGAAGAGCGTCTTTACCCTCTGGCTCGTCAATGCCATTTTCACTTGACATCGCGCCTTGCGTCTTCAAATAGCGTATTCTCCGGTGCGAACGAGTGAACCCTGGCAACCGGGCCAATGTATATGTATACATATACATATGTGTGTAGATGTGCATGCATACGTACACACTTACAGAAGTCGCGTTTGGCCATTTGGGGCCATTTTCGTGACCTCCTCACCCTCTTAGTTCCAATGCGCCTGGACAGCCCCGAACTGAAGCATTCGAGTTCTCCCTTCCTAGCAGCTGTGTAGATGTAACAACCAAATATGTGAGAGTTGACGGTGTATGCACGCGTCTATGTGCGTCATCACATGTCACACCAGTGATATTATACTCGAAGCAGTGATTGAACAAGGACGGCCAACAAACAAACATGATGTCTGCGTGCGTGTGTGCGCGCGTGTGTGCGACTACCGGCGAATGCATTTATAGCCTGGCACAAGTACCCTGGCACACTCAGCCCAACGATTAAGTGCGCTGCAAGTTAGCTATGCAGTATACTGTGGCATCGGCATCTAGCTCTCTACTGTCACGGGGGGGCACCGCCACGCCTGGCGGGGTATGTCCCTTCCAGCTTGACATCATCAGCGGCCCGAGTGATTTTCAGTGGCGGATGCAGATACGTGCTCCCTTGCTTCGACGAACGGCGCGACAAACTTTTTCGTGAAGCTGCGCCACGCCGCCAGTCAGAGGGAAGTCTTTCAGCTACGACGCCGGATAAATACCGAACGCTACAAGGAGGTCACAGGCGAGAAGCCACGTTGCCACCAGACGTGAAGGCAGGGAAGCGTGTCTAACGACTCGCTGCCGACCCATGGCGCGGCGGCGTCTTTACAGCAGGCACGTGGATACAGACGACAAGAGGCTGATCTCGACCAGCAAAACATGAAGCGCACGCACCTTGGATGACACTCTTCACAGGATGCGATGGTGGAGAGTGTGTCCGAAGGCCCAGCTCAAGGAATCTGCGGCTCGATCTGGATGATCTTGGTGCCCTCTGGGTCCTTCTTGTCCCTGACGTAGCGCAAGAAGGTGCCAGGTGGGTACAGCACCTCATCTTCTTTTGGGTAAACGCTGCACCATGAAATCTCCACTCCTTTGGAGTATCCCTTTGCAAGGAACATGAAGAGCAGCGGCCGATTGCTCCTTGAGTAGCTGTGTGCCACCTCCAGTGTGGGAGTCGTCGACATGGCTGCGAACTCAGCACCGCCTTCGGCCTTGAACTTCACCAGGTCCAAGTCCGCATTCTTCATGCCCCGGTAAAGCCGCTTCTCGTCCTGGAAACCAGGCTTACTCGCGGCGACCTTGGTGACCGGCCTGCCACCCCACCCGATCGCAAGATCGGATGATCGTCTGACCAACCTGCTGACCAATACGCTCGAAACAAGGACGACGGGCAGGTAACATAGCGACCAGAATCATCACGATCGGGTGATCGCCCGATCCCTGTGGTCTTTGATCGCCGATCGCGTGACCAACAGACACTGAGGCTGCGGCCGCCCGAAGCTTTTTGATGCCGTTGATCAGAAAATCCGCAACCGTGCTTCGGGCACAAACTGAAGTGTCCCCAGGCCTTTTCTGATTCCTGCGTCCTCGGGCAGGAGAGGCCAAGTCCAGACGGGGCAGGCTCAGACAGAGGCCGAGCACTCCGTGCCGACTTGCCCCGGACGGACCTGGCATCCTGCCAGGAGAGGCCGAGCCCAGACGGAGGCCGAACACTCCGTGCGGGCTTTCCCCGCACGGACTTGGCATCCTCCGACCCCGCCCCGAGGAATGGACACCAATGGGGCTGGACTCCACTCCTCCTCCTCCTCCTCCTCCTCCTCCTCCTCCTCCTCATCATCCTCTTCCTCCTGCTCCTGCTCCTCCTCCTCCTCCTCCTCCTCCTCCTCCTCCTCCTCCCACATGCCTGGAAGACTCGGCGCTCCCCGCGTGCCTCCCGCGCCCCCCTGCGGCTCCCCAGCTCTCGGAGCCAGGGGGGGCCTTGAAGCTGGCCAAGAGGGGCCCAGGAGGCTCCCAGGACGGCCCAAGAGGGCGCCGGGTCGTCGAAACATCGCTCCAAGACGCCGAGTATATCCCCTCCAGACGGCCGAAGAGGCTACCAGGACGGGCTCAACGGGCACTTTCAAGAGGATCCCAAGATGCCAACGTCAATTTCCTTCGGCTTCCTGGAAGGTTCAGCATTCTCGCCTCTTCGGGCGCTCCAAGACGGCCCAAGAGGCCCCCCAAAGGGAGAACACGAGTCGACATTTCGAGCCCTCCGCCCCAAGAGTACCTCCCAGACCGCCAGCAGACCCCAAGAAGAGCTCCAGGAGCTCCGGCAGGCCCCCAAAAAGACCCGAATCAGGCCCCGAAGAGGCCCCGAAGGGGCCCCCGAGAGGCCCCCAAAAACACCACCAACCCACCACCGAGAGACATCCGAGAGGCCTCCCGCGAGATCCCTACGGGCATCCAAGAGGCCTCTCGTCTACAATCGAGGAAGGGGGGCGGGGGTGGGCCGAAGGCCGCTGGATACACGGTGATCGCCATCGGGTGCGGCTTGACACCCTGGCGCAAGGGTCTGTTGAAGAGCGGGAACGAGCTCGTCGTATAAAGACGAATCGAGCACAGTTCTGGCTCGTTGAGGCCCGCTAGCTTGGCCTCCTCTCTCTCCATGAACGACTGGAAGGTCATGCCCGCGTGGCCAAAATCGTAGTCGCCTTCCGCGAGTCGCCCTCCGTGGTAGCAGCCGTTCTTGTAGTCCTTGACCACGTGGGGCGGAAGGCTCGACTCCTCCTGCGCGACGGCGTGGAGAATGTACTGGAGGTTGGCGCAATCTTTCTCTGTGCCAGCACTCTTCACTTCCTCCCAAATGGCATCCAACCCCTTCTCCTCTCCACTGATGCGTTCCTGAGTCGTGATGCCGAGGAGAGCTTCGACGCCCTTGCCAACCTCCGCAGGATGGCCAAAGACCAAGTGTATCACAGAGTACTTAACCTCTTCTCCCTCCTCCTCGGGCTCGCTCTCTGCCTCCTCCAGCATCTCGTCGCCGAGCTTGATGAGCTGCTTAAGTCCGCCGAGCCCCGCTTCCCCGGGTGCAAACCAAAAGCGTGTGAGACGTTTGGCTGTCCCCATGCCCCAGTTCCCCCTCCCCCCAACATCCTGCTAAGGAGGAGGGGGGGGGGGGCACGCGAGCTTCTCAAGAGCCCCTCAGTCTGGCCTCCAAAGACTCTACAAACCAAAACAGCAGAAGCGCCCAAAATGGACCAGGTGGTCCAAGAAGTCCGTCCTGGGGCTCTGTTTGGAGCCTCTTGGGACGCCTTAGGGCTCCTGGAGGCTGGCCCCACAGGCCACAATCATTGAAACAATGATGGACGTTGTATCATGTTCGTTTGATGCTTCCATTATCGGCCTATTGATCCTGAGAGCGTCCAAGACGGCCCCAGGGGCCCCCCAAGCCGTCCCAGGAAGCACCCGAGGCCCCCCAAAGGGGCCCAGTAGGCCACAAGAGGCACCCAAGAGAGGCCCACGAGGGGGAAGTCAGAAGTGCCCTGGGAACCCTCCAACCCCAAGGTGCCCCCCGAGCTCCAGAGGCGCTTCCGAGAGATCCCCGGGCGGCTTCACGAGAGGCCCCGGAGGCCTCCTGGCTACAGTCTGATTAGGCACCGTGGTGGGATAGCCCAAGAGGCCACTTGATGGCTGCTTGCCCTGCACCTCCCAGAGGACACCCTGCAGGGAGGCAAATGAAGGGGCCCTGGGACACACAAATGAATACACACAAATAAAAAGATTCCCCACATGTTCCATACTTTCTGGGTTTCTGTCTCCCCCCCCACTTCCCATATTTTCGCATATTCTCTGGGAGTCGACGAATAATGGGTGTCTGTGTGTTTTTTCCCCTCCTGAGCAGAGGCCAAGCTGTGACCACGGCACGGCCCTCGGGCCCACGCAAAAAAAAAACGCCACGACGGCTCACAGCTTCAGACTGGCGACCGCCTCGAATGGCTACTGGCCACTTCGAATTTCAAACTTCAAGGGGCCCAAGGACACACAAATAAATACACACAGATCAGATGATCCCCCATATTTTCCCATATTTTCTGGGTTTCCGTCTTCCCCCCCACTTCCCATATTTTCCCATATTTTCCTGGGAGTCGACGATTAATTGTGTCTGTGTGTTTTTTCCCTCCTGAAAACTGGCTACCAACTTCAACTCAAACTTCAACTTCAGCTGGCTACGAACCACTTCGAACTTCACTTCTCTCGTGTGAGGGCCGGCGGAATGGAGACAGCCTCTCGAACAGGCGTTTCTGTTCATACTTCTTGAGCTGGAGCGCCTCGACAAACTCCTCCTTGTTCTCGAGGATCTCCATCAGGGCCACGACGCCGTTGTCGTCGCACCACTCCACCGCCAGCGCCCTGGAGCTCTCTGACAACTTGGCATCTTCCCACAACTGACTGACCTCCTCAGAAGGAAGAACACACACAAACACACACACAAACGTGAACTTGCAGGGCCTCACGCGGATTTCTTGGATCGGCGCTGAATCCTCCTCCCTGGCGCATGGAACGCGCCAGGGGCGGAGCCGGAGGCGCCACCTTGGGGGCCCAGTGCAGATCCAAGAAATCAGTGCGGACCTCCGAAAGCTCGCTTGTGCAGTTTTCTCTTCCTCGAGTCCTTCTCCAGGCGCCTTCGGGTGCGTCGAAGAGGGGGGCTAGGGAGGGGGTGAGCATCATCGCCCGAGTCATGCGCGCGGACGAGGGGGTGGGCCAGGGGATGCGTCGACGGAAGAAGGGGGGCCTGTGAGATCTGGGAGGTGCCATGACCCTGGCCATGAAATCCACCACCACCCCTACGGTCGGGAATGTTTGCTTAACGTGTCGCGGCGGCGGCCCCAGCGATACGCTACACCGTCGCTCCGCTCCGCGGGGCGGGAGGCTTGGAAAGGCTCGGGACACTGACGCTCAGACATGGGGACGCGGACAGAGTGTCGCTCCGGAGCGCGGTGGGCCGGAACTGGCGGCGCAACACTCTGAGCCAAAGTTCCTGACCGCAGTCCCCGACGCGCCCTCTCGGACGCAAGGAGGGTGCAGTTTTCACCCAGAATCTGCTTTCGACGGTCCAGAAGCCCGAATGCGGCCCCCAGGGGCCGAGAAAGGCAAAAAACCTTCCAGAACCGCTGAGCCAAAGTTCCTGACCGTAGTCCTCGGCGCCCCACCTCGGACGCCAGGAGGGGGAGGAGGAGGAGGAGGAGGAGGAGGAGGAGGAGGAGGAGGAGGAGGAGCAGGCGGAAGAGGAGGAGGAGGAAGACGAGGAGGAGGAGGAGAGGAGGAGGAGGAGGAGGAGGAGGAGGAGGAGGAGAGGAGGAGGCGGCAGAGGAGGCGGAGGAGGAGGAGGAGGAGGAGGAGGAGGAGGAGGAGAAGGAGATGGAGGTGGAGGAGCAGTAGGGGTGGAGGACAAAGGAGGAGGAGGAAGAGGAGGAAGGAGGAGGAGGAGAGCGAGAACGAGGAGGCCCCCATCACCCCCCCGTACGGACGCCCCCGACGCCTGCGTGCCTCATCGGCGGCGCTCGCCCGGAGCCCGCGGGCTGCTGCCGCTGCGCTGCCCGCGGGAGGCCTCGGCGCCTCCTCGGGGGCGCTCGCCTCGGGCTCGCGGGCCACTCCCGTGCCGTCCCAGCTTCCCGTCGCCGCCGCCGGAGGCAGGAGGAGTCTTCCTCGGCCTCCTCCGCCTCGTGCATTTCCGCCTCCCCCTAATCCTCCTCCTCCTCCTCCTCCTCCTCCTTCTCCTTCTCCTCTTCCTCCTCCTCCTCCTGCTCGCTCCTCGAAGTACCCTGTCCCTCACTCCCCTTCGCCTGCTCCTCCTCCCCTCCTCCTCCTCCTCCTCCTCCTCCTCCTCCTCCTCCTCCTCCTCTCCCTCCTCCTCCTGGTCCTGGTCCTTATCCTGATCCTGGGTTTTCGGGCGTTCTCGTCGGATCTCGAGAGCTCTTGCCTCGGGGTGCTATCCAGTAGCTGTGACTCGTCGGGAGCGTCCCAAAGGTACCCGAATCGCCCCGGACGGCCGCTGAAGGCCCGAGCTGTAGCCCAAATGCGCCACCTCCCTGCTGGGAGGGCGAGGAGAGACAACGGGACGGACGTAGTCGAGGGGATCTCCTCTCTCCTCCTGTTTCTCCTGATCGGGAGCGGCCAAGAGGGGGGTGTCCAAGAGGGGTGTGTGCAAATCATGACCGGCGGCATGTGCGCCGCCCAGCGGGGGGGCCAGGGACGTAATGAAATAAGAAGAGGCGCCATGAAATCTGCGGAAATCTCATGGCCCGCGCCATGATATCCACCCCCCCCTAGTCATCACCCCCCTCTTTTCCGCTCCCGACCTGATCCTCCTGCTCCTGCTGCGCCTGTTTCATCCCTTCTCCTTATAGATTCCTCCTCCCTTACGCACCCCGGGGCCGGTCGACAGGGCCGGCCGGGCGCTTCGACTAATGATCTTGAAGCTTCGAAATTGGCAACAGCTTCACAGATGGAGGGCAGGTCCCTTCCAAACTGTGGCTCTCGCTTTGGCGCAGCGCACGCTCGTGCTAACGAGTTGCAGTACTTCCAAGGATTGGAAGCAAGTCGTTTTCAAAATGTGGCTCTCTCCTAAGCACCGCGCACATTCGCTGAACAATGCAAAAGTTTCACGACTTGAGGGCGGGTGGTTTTCAGAATGTGGCTCTCGCCTTAGCGCCGCGCGCACTCTTTCAAAACAGTTGGAAGAGCGTCACGGTTTGAGGGCGGCTCGTTTTCAAAATGCAATTTTCGCCTGGAAGCGCCGCGCGCACTCACTGCAACAATTCGCAAGCATTTCACCGATTCTCATGGCTAACGTACCAGAAATTACGTTTTGGAGCGATTCTGGATTCTCAGGGCGCAATAAATACGCTGATCCGCGGTGTTGAAGTCCCAAGAACGGTGTCCCTCCCAAGGGGGAATTCCCTTCAGAAGGAAGGAACCCTTGTAGGGGCCTGTGAAGAGGGAGCTGGAAGGGGTGGTCTATTTCAACGTCGCACACTGGTCCTCTTCCCCCGCCTTCTCCTCTTTTTTTTCCTCCTCCTCCTCCTCGTCCTGTTCATCCTCGTCCCTCTGGGAATACCCGCCAAAAAAAGCGGAAGTCTCCACGAGATCCGCAGAAACCTCCCGAAGTCCCCCGGGATCTCCAGATCTCCAGAGGCGTGCACAAGGCCCCCCTCCGATAACCCATCCTCGCACATCCTTCTAATATCCCGCCTCCTCCTCCTCCTCCTCATCATCATCATCATCATCATCACCATCAGCATCATCAACGTTATTCCTCCTGCTCCTCCTCGGGCCTCTTCCCCCCCATTTGTGAAGATGCAACTTCTATACGGTGCTACGTATGTTGCTGATGTTATCTGTCGCGTTATTCCTTGAGCCCTGCGAGCCATCATGTAATACGGATGCGCATGGCTGATACAAATGGCAAGCACGCGCTCTCGCATTCACGATCGTTCCAACATAGCTCCAAGATAACGTTGGCCTTTGACGATCACGAAGTCAACACCACATGCTTGCGCAGCATATGACATATAGCACACACAAGGCACACGCGCGTGCAAACACGTATGTAACAGGCACAGCACCTACTGTACACAAGCACAGAGACAGGCGTACGCACACTTAGCCAAGTGTAATGAAACATGGCGCAGAATGCGGATACCATAATCTGCCCAAACTGAGCTAGCAAAGCCAACAGCAGAAGGGCGCACCAGGCGTGGGCATGAAAGTAGCCCCACCAGGAGCTCCCAGTAGCGCATGGCGTAGGCATTTGAATATCAGAAGGAGCTCCCACCACCACCAAATCCATTTCTCCCAGCTCGTGGCCCATGAGTTCACCAAGGAATCGTTGTCGCAATGTCCTCCGGGGGCGTATCCTGATGAAGCATCGCCCAACCATCCAAAGCTGCTCGTATTTTTGTACCGTCCACTCTCTTGGTGGGAACGTCCGCGAGCACGTGCTGCGTCGGACACCACGAGAGCGGGAGTCTGGATATGTTGGCCGCCGCCGTCTCGTCGTACAGCTCAGCTTCCACAAGCTCGCGATAGCCAGTCACATTAAAAACCAAACGTCTCTCCGAGGGTAGCTTGACAGCCCCATCGCGATGTACGGTGCCATCTAATGAAGCACAATCGGTAGCGCATCTTGTGGTACATAAACACGGGTCGTCGTGGTCCAACGTTAGGTCAAAATTTCAGATCGCTCAAAAGAGATGCCCCCATCACTATGGCGACTCCGAAAGCGTCCGCAGCACTCATGGTCTCCTCGGCGAACGCGCTGCGACAAATCCTCCAGATGGTAGCGGATCTTCAGTCCACTAGAGCAGTTCTCCCTTCGCCGTCGGCCAAAATCTTCTTCTCGGCGGCGCGCATCAGGAATGCCGCGTGACTTATCGCCTTGAACCGCTCGGGGGCGCACGAGGCGAGGCGAACGATGACATTGCCCGACGGGCGCGCCGCCGCGCGACGCTGGCGACCTCGTCGTCGGGCTCGCCCACGTTGGCCTGCGAAGCGCCATGAAACCATATAACCCAAAGGTTTCCTTCGCACGCGGCGCGGCGATGCTCGCGTCGCTGCGCCGGTGAGCTTCGGGCGCGACGTGGCCCGTCTCGACGAGGTTGGAAACGAGAGGCGAATCTCGCGCTGTCTGCGCCATGGAAACAACAGCCGATAAGTCGGGGCGCGCCTGAGTTGACCGCCAGCCAGCACTGCCGATCAAACTCCGGTTCTCGGCGCTTTCCACGCGTGTAGATGGGCGCCCTAGGTCTCGCTCGCGATCCACGTCCATTTCCGGGGGCTTCAGCTTCTCCGCAGACACTTCTCCGCGTAGCTGACTTGAGCCGTCGGACTTGACTGTCGCGCCCTTGGCGCAGAGGGCAACAGGCAACCCAGGCCAACCTCCATAGGGGAAGATGACCTTGATGATCTTGCAGGTCTCCTCCGTGCTGGCGGAGACTGGCGCGTCGCCAACACGCGCGCGCGCAATTGTCTGCAGTGGCCCACCAGTGCCACGGCCAACAACCAATGCCAAGCAAGCATTTGTTGGTAAGAACGGCAGGCCGCACTTCCGAGGCAGATCGTTCGTTTGGAGTTTTGCGAGCGCGAGCTCGCCCGTAAAATATATACACATGGGACAACGACGGGCCACCCACGGGACAGCGCTAATATAAGAAAACGCCCGCACGGGACAACCACGGGACGACCGCGGGACGCACGACCAGCGGGACAACCACGGGGCAACCACGGGACAACCGACCGGGAACTGTGTGAGGGGTGCGCCGAAATGGGCGTGCGATGGCGATGGTGATGGTGACGACGACGATGATTACGACTACGACTACGATGGATGGTTGCTTACCATCACCATCTCCATTACCATCATCACCACCGCGCCTCAACGGTTCCACTGGTGCTCTACCGCGTAGAACACAGAGAAGCGCCCGCAGCCGACGCGGGAATACGTCGCGAACCTGGGGGCCACGCGGATGACATGGTTCTGGCCCGCCCGATCTTATCGGATGACGGCAGCGCGCAACGGCCGTTCCGTGGCCGTTGCCGCCATCCGAATTTCGGGGTTTCAATCGCCCACGGCGACCCGTCGGGCCAAATTAGAAACAGCACGCTGCCCAGGGCGACGAGGTCAAGCGCTGGGCTGCGGACGCCAAGCGCCGACGCCCAACCCACGGGTTGCGGGGCCGCTGGAACGCGCCAGCGGCCGCTGCCGCCCCCGCTGGGTCCCAGCGGGAGCTGCGCCACCTCGGGCACCCACCAGGCAGCCCTCCACTCGGACACTCCGAGGCGACTGCGGACGCAGCATTGCCACGGGCGCTGCGCGACATCCCACCCCGCGGGCGGGGGTGGCGCGCGCGGGAAACCAGCCATGCTTGGCTGCAACTACAGTTGTACATTTCAGTGTCACAGAATCTGTCGTCTCTACACCACTACGACGACGAGTATTATTATGACTACTACTGTTACTTTTACCGTTACTACTACTTCTACTACTACTGCTACTACACACTACTACTCCTACTACTACTACTACTACTACTACTACTACTACTACTACTGCTACTACGACTACTACGAGTACTACGACTACTACTACTACTACTACTACCACTACTACTACTACTACTACTACTACTACTACTACTACTACTACTACTACTACTACTACTACTACTACTACTACTACTACTACTACGACTACTACTACTACTACTGCTACTACTACTACTACTACTACTACTACTACTACTACTACTACCTACTACTACTACTACTACTACTACTACTACTACTACTACTACTACTACTACTACTACTACACCTACCACTCTCACTAAAGTCCGCAGCCCTTCGTCGAGTCACTGCTGTTGGATGGGTTGGTGGGGATTCGCGAAGCGTGTACGCTTTGAAATCTGAGGCACCCCTAGATGCGATAGCGCCCTGCCGCACCCATCGATGCCGACGCACGGGGCGGCCGCGCGAAGTCGCCGTCCCAAATTCCCGAGCTGTGGCATCGCAGTAGACCAATCTGGTAATCCTTCAATGGGCCGTGCGCTCACTCGCTCCCGCACTTCTTCAGGCGACATGCCCATCGCCTTGCACGAGGGGGGCGAGAGCGAAATGAGCACGAAGGGGATCATGGCTAACATAGCTACTGCAAGCCGGCTCGGGTCAAGCGTCCCGAAAGATCGGCTGATCCTCACGCTGAGATGGCTTCGGCCCCTGGAAAGCTCGATCTGAAATGGAAGGCTCGGCCCCTGGAAGGTTCAAGCTCCTCCTAAAGGCTCGGTCTGAAATCGTTCGGGCCCTGGAATTTCATGTTGGGGGCATCTGGATGGCTTCTTGGAAAGGCTCATACATGTAGGTCCTCGGGCATGGAGGCGGCGCGCCGACGGCCGCGGAGGCACGCCGAATGCACGCCGGAGGCACGCCGGAGGCACGCCAGAGGCACGCCGGACGCACGCCGGAGGCACGGTGGGCCCGGAGGCACGCGGGAGGCACGCCAGAGGCACGCGGGAGGCACGCTCGGAGGCACGCGGGAGGCACGCGGGAGGCACGCGGGAGGCACGGTGGGCCCGGAGGCACGCGGGAGGCACGCCGGAGCCAGGACGTCCACGCCTTTTCCTGGCGTATCCTCCATACTCTCTTCCTATCCTAACATCCCCCTTGACCAAGGTACGTCCCATCACTTCCCCTGCAACCCGATGATAGGGGTCCAGATATCACAATGCCAACCTCCCCGGAGCAGCCGCAGCCTGGTGCCCTTCCACCCCCCTCCTGCTCCTCCTGCTCCTGCTACTCCTCCTCCTCCTGTTCGTCCTCCGCCTCCTCCCGTCCCCCGAAATAAGAGTCCTCAGATTCCGCAGCGCCTGCGCCACCCTGCGGCCGACGCAGGCGCGACGGCGGCAAGCCTCAGCCATTAAGCGTTCCTCACCCGAAGAGAACGCCTCGCCCGTCCTGCCAGGCACCACCGCCAGTGTGCCCGTGACCGTCACCGCCTGCCCCCCTTCGGCAGCGCAGCCTCGCTGGGCAGACGCACTGGCCCTACGTCGTTCCGTCCAGAAAAGGTAGCGCCTCGGCCTCTGCCACACCTTCATCGCCGTGTGCTCGACGCCGGGCGGCCTGCCCAGCCCTGCGCCGCTACGTGCGCGCTCGGCGGCAGACGCTCTCGCAATACCTTTCATGCCCGAAAGAGACGCCTCGCCGTCTCCAGCACCACCCGGTGGTGCTACGCCCGCAGGGGCTGGCCTGAGCGGCCACCCTGCGGCCGCGCAGGCGCTCGGCGGGCAGAGCGCACTGGCCCTCGTCGTTCCTCCCGAAGAGGAGCGCCTCGCCGTCTGCCAGCACCAGCGCCGTGTGATACCCGCCGCAGGCGGCCTGCGCCACCCTGCGGCCGCGCAGGCGCTCGGCGGGCAGAGCGCACTGGCCATAGCAGTTCGCCCCGAAGAGGAGCGCCTCGCCGTCTGCCAGCACCAGCGCCGTGTGCCACCAGCCGCAGGCGGCCTGCGCCACCCTGCGGCCGCGCAGGCGCTCGGCGGGCAGAGCGCACTGGCCCTCGTCGTTCGCCGCCCCGAAGAGGAGCGCCTCGCCGTCTGCCAGCACCAGCGCCGTGTGCCTCCAGCCGCAGGCGGCCTGCGCCACCCTGCGGCCGCGCAGGCGCTCGGCGGGCAGAGCGCACTGGCCATAGCAGTTGTTCCCGAAGAGGAGCGCCTCGCCGTCGTCCAGCACCAGCGCCGTGTGCCCGTAGCCGCAGGCGACCGCCATGGCCCTGCAGCGGTGGCTGGCCGAGCAGGCGGCGCGGGGCCGGGGTCCTCGCGCCGCAGTGGCCTGGCCGCGGGGAGAGAGGTGCGACGCACGTGGAGGGGGCGGGGGGAGGAAAGGGGATGGGAACGAGGAAGGGAGAGAGTGTGGAGGAGAATGGGAGGGGAAAGGGGAGGGGAGGGGAGAAAAGGGGAGGGGAAGGGGGAGCGAGGAGCAGGGGAGGGATGAAAGGGAAGGAGGGGGCGGTGAGAGGAGGGAGAGAAGGAAGGGAGGAGGAGGCAGGGAGACGCCGGGGAGGGAGGGGAGGCGGGAGAAGAGGGAAACGGAGAGAACACAGAGAGCGGCGGAAGCGTGGGGTCGCAAGGAGAGGGAAGAGAGAGAGAGAGAGAGGATGATTTTTTGTTTGTTTAAAACATGTTGTTTTTGTTATGTTTCTTTTTGTTGTTTTGCTTTTGTATTACTTTTTATGGTTTGGTATTTTGCTGGAGGCGGGGGATGCGCATGGGCAGGTCTTGGAGGACGGAGGCGGGGAGGAGGCGGAGGGGGACGTGCCCCCCCCCTTCGCCTCCGGCCCCCTCCGCTGGCCTGCCCTCCTCCCTCTCTCAGGAGGGAGGAAAAACGCACAGACACAAGGAATCGTCGATCCCCCAGAAAGGATGGGAACATATGGGAAGGGGAGGGGAAGACAGAAACCCAGAAAATATGGAAAACTATGGGGGGTGGGGTCCTGTTATTTGTACGTATGTATTTGTGTGTCCTTGGTCCCCTTGACGCTCCATCCCCCCCCCCCCCGCGCCTCCCTCCTCCCGCCCCCCGCGCCAGCTGTCTCGCGCGGAGCGCCTGGTCGCCGCAGACCTCCGGGACGGGGACGACACCCAGGGGCCGCGAGACGTCCCCTTCGCCAGGTTCGGAAGAGCACCTCCGCCCGGAGCTCTTCCGCACGGCCCCCGGGCCTCCAGCGGGGCCCTCGCCGGGCCCAGGGACCGCGAGCGCAACGACCCGGGACGAAGAACCGGCCCATGGGGAAGGGGTCGGGACTGCCGGGAAGCGCGCAGCGGCAAGGCTCGAGGGATCGGGCGTCTGGGGGCAAGGGCCCCGACATCCGCGCGGCGTGACGCGATCCTCCTCCTCCTCCTCCTCCTCCTCCTCCTCCTCCTCCTCCTCCTCCTCCTCCTCCTCCTCCTCCTCCTCCCCCTCCTCGCTGTACTTCTGCGGGGCGTGCGGCTATTGGGCGCAGGCTCGCCCTGGCCGTTTGGCGGTGGTGCCCTGTGCGGTGGCCTCCCTCGGTCCGCACGCTGGGTCGAAGGCTGGGCTGGGAACTCCTGCAGCAGACCCGACCCCAGACCAGACCCCCTCGCGTCGAGACGGGAACACGACGGGAGGCTTTGTTGCTGCTTCTGGCCTCCATCGCCGTCCCTCTACTTTCTCCGTGTAGCAGAGACTGGCAAACGAGTAGGATGGCAAGCGCGCATTAGATGAGGGCGCGCGGGCCCTTTTCCACCTAATTTGCAGCCCAACCAGCTGCGGTCCTCGCGATGACCAATGTCATTCGTCGATGGAGGCGGTAGCGGCAGCGGGCGACGACAGGGACGGAGCCATCTTAACTGGGAAGGCTCCCTAGAAGGAGGCTGCTTCTTAGCAGGCGCTGGCCCTACATCTACAGACAAGGCCCGCTGCTTCTAAGAAGCAGGGATGCTTCTAAGAGGCCTTCCTCCCTCCCTCTACCCCCCTCTGCGCGTGGCCGAGTACGCCCGAAGGATCCCCGGCAGCAGTACCAGAAGAGACTTTCGGTGGGCCTTGGACCGACCTGCGGCGGTCGGGTATTCCATGCAGCCGGGGTGGTGCGGACAGGGGGGCGCGCCACGCTCGCGGGAAAAGGCGACCTCCATTCTTTGCGGCGCCAAAAGCTCGACGCATCCCCGCTCTCCACGCACAAGCCGGCGCGGCGCGGGAACCGTGCGGAGGTCCGCAGCCAGGCGCGAGGGCTCGGGCTGAAGCGGCGGCGGCGGTGGAGGATGACGGCGAGGACGAGGAAGGGGCGGGGGGTCCGAGGACGAGGAGGCCGAGAAGAGGAAGGCCTGGGTTTTGAGGCGACGATGGCCCTCTTCGGGCCCTTGGGAACCTCCGGGGGGGGGGATCAAGAGGGCAAGGGTGAGGGAGGATGACGACGAGGAGGAAGGCGCGGGGAAGAGTGGTCCACGAAATGATGAGGAGGAACAGAAAGAGGAAACATACTACGACGGAATGGAAGACCCCGAGAAGGGAAGGAACAATGCTGAGGACGAGAAGACAAAGGCGAAGACCAGGAATCAGGAACGACTGAGGTGTGGCGATGGGAACGGGAAGAGCAGGACCACGACAATGCTGATATATTCGACAACTCTGAGAGCAGTGGGGCAGTTAGCAGGAAGACGACGACGAAGACGACGAGGAGAGGACATGGACGAGGAGAACGAGGACGAGGGCTCATAGCACGAACTGGAGAGGAGGCAGGAGGGGGGGGGGGAAGCAGCAGAAGGGGGGGGGGGGCACACGGACCAGCGACCAATAGGGGCGGAGGAAAAGGGGGGGAGTGACGAGAGAAGGTGTGCAGCCGCCTCTCTCCTCGAGCACCGACCCCGCGCCGTGCCGAGCCAGTGGCGCGGAGGCACGGGGCGGCGGGGCCCCCGTGGGCGCTACAGGCGCCCGACGGCGCCACCACCGCACAGAGGCGCCCGACGGCGCCCCGCACCGCGCCGCGCGGCCGCGGGCCGCGGCCGCGGGCCGCGCCGCGGCCGCGCGGCACCCTCCGGCCGCGGGCCGCCGCGGCGCCGCGCGCCGCCGCCGCGGGGGGCGGCCGGCCACGCGTGGCGAGGCGGCTCACGCGGAGGGGCGGCCTGGGGGGCGGGCGCGCGCTGAGCCCCCTCCCCTGCGCAGGAGCGGGGGGGGGAGGGGCGGTGCACCCCTCCCTCCCCCTGCCCCTCCCCTCCTTTCCCCTCCCCTCCCCTCCACAATTACAATATGAATACTACTCTCCCACTTCCCCTGATGGCGTCCGGAAGATATTCGGCACCCCCCCGCGTACTGTTTTCTTACACACAGGATTCCCCGGAGTTGGGTTTTCGCTGGTGTTTTTTTCTAAAATGCTGCTCTCGCTGAGGCGCTGGCCTAATTTTCGGGCTCCCGCTCCTTCCGAATCGTGTTCCCGCTGCAGCGCTGGCCTCATTTCCGCGCTCCCGCTCGTTCCGAATCGTGCTCCCGCTGCAGCGCTGGCCCAATTTCTGCGCCTCTCGTTGTTCCAAAACGTGCTCCCGCTGCAGCGCCGACGATTTCGATTCTTTTTAACAAGCCCCAAATATAGAAAATGATCCCTGGCAAAAACATGATGGACCCACGAACCCGGAAAGGGATAAAGACATGTGCAGCATGGTCACGTTTTCACGATACCCAACTGGGCGACATCTCACGAAACATCCCACGAGACATCCCGCGAAACATCCCACGAGACACCTCACGAAACATTCCACGAGACACCTCACGAAACATTCCACGAGACACCCCGTGAAACATTCCACGAGACACCCCACGAACAGGCAACCACTCAACCAGACACGCCACGAAACATTCCACGGGGGTGCGACTGGGTGCGGTCGTGCTGGGGTGTGGTCGTGCTGGGGTGTGGTCGTGCTGGGGAGTGGTCGTGCTGGGGTGTGGTCGTGCTAGGGCGTGGTCGTGCTGGGGCGTGGTCGTGCTGGGGCGTGGTCGTGCTGGGGTGTGGTCGTGCTGTGGTGAGGTCGTGCTGGGGTGTGGTCGTGCTGGGGTGTGGTCTTGCTGGGGTAGGGTCGTGCTGGGGTCGGGTCGTGCTGGGGTGTGGTCGTGCTGGGGTATGGTCGTGCTGGGGTGGGGTCGTGCTGGGGTGGGGTCGTGCTGGGGTCTGGTCGTGCTGGGGTGTGGTCGTGCTGGGGTATGGTCGTGCTAGGGTGGGGTCGTGCATTTCGCTCGAGACATCCTGCCAAAATTCCAGGAAATCGTACAAAAACAAAGGAATTAGTCGAGACATCATCGAAATTCCTTCGCGCGGGGCGCTTTTCCGCGTCGCGGTCGGCTCTGCAAAACAAGCGTTTCGCTCGAGACATCCTCGGCAAACTCTGCGGAGCAAGCGTTTCGCTCGAGACATCCTCAACGCACGAAAAAGTGGCCCGCACCCTGTGATTTATCGATCGGGATTTCAAAAACAAGCGTTCCGCTCGAGACATCCTCAAATTTTAATTCGCCGGCCTCCTTCGACCTCGTTATTTATCAGGGAAAAAATTCGCCGGCCTCCCTCAAGTTGGCACCGGGGGACAGGTTTACCTACTAAAAGAGAACCCTGGGCACCATGCCCTTTCGGGAACATTTGGAGGTGAATTACACGATGAGCCGTTGTCGATTCGTTGATTTATTGGGGCCGCAGAAAGCCCCCCCTTTTGGGCGGCGTCCCGTCTTCGTCGCCGGTCGTCCTCATCGTCGTCGTCGTCGTCGTCGCCGCCGTCGTCGTCGTCGTCGTGGTTGTCGTCGTCGTCGTCGTCTTCGTCGTCGTCGTCTTCGTTTTCATCGCGCCGTCGTCCTCCTCCTTTCCCTCTTAGGTAACAGGGTCAGATGCGAAGCCCGACTCGGTGAGAGGACAATGAAGTAGCTCAATGGGAAGGGATGGGAGGGAGGGGTAGGATGTCAGATGTTGACGCGAGCGCACCTAGCTTGCCTCCCTCCCCTCCCCTCCTCTCCCTCCCCTCCCCGCCTTTCCCCCCCCCTCCCCTCCCCTCCTCCCCTGCGCAGGTGGGCGGGGCGGCGCCGCCACACTCCTGCCCCTCTACAATTACACAATATGAAAATACTCTCCCACTTCCCCTGATGGCGTCCGGAAGATATTCGGCACCCCCCCGCGTACTGTTTTTTTACACACAGGATTCCCCGGAGTTGGGTTTTCGCTTGTGTTTTTTTTTCAAAATCTCGCCCTCACGAGCGTCTCTCTGCTGAGGCGCCCC